CCCCCCCCCCACAAACAACTATCCCTTGGGATTTTGTGCCGATCCTTAAACCAATCTTGTCACACTCTGCTGCAAACTGCCTGAAGCTACAGTCTGATGAAGCTAGAAGGGCAATTTTCTCTGTAAATTGTGTAAAAATTCGGATGAATTTCTGTGCATATTGTAGCATGAAGGGATACAATGCCTCCATATTTATTTATTTTTTTTGCATCTTACTTATTTAGCCAAATCCTCCCTTACCCTCTCTAATTGTTTAGTTGTCTATCTCTTCCAACGTATGTGATTTCATTGTTTATTTCTTATACAAAAATACTATTAAAAATATAAGACTCCTGTCATAAAAAAAGTTCAGTCTATTACATTTTTAAACCACTGGAGCTGCTTTTGACAAGCGCATCTTAGTACTTAAAACTGTTGCCTTGTGTACGTGTTCTCTTCTGCACAAATGGTCAAACACGCTTCTCAGTAGCTTCACTGCCTTTTGCCCCTTGCACCTCTTTTACATGGTTTACGGTAGGAGCGTTTCCTGCCATAGAGCTGGGGCTGACCTCCTAACAAAGAACAGGTTCAATCTGCCTCCCCTCCCCCAACGCAGGAAGCTGATGAGGGTCACATGACCTTTCTAGACAGCACTGAGGAGCAATGGTAATATGTAAGGGTGGGGGAAGGGAGCAGCTAGTCACACCAGTCTTGTGTTGTTATTAGGCTGGAGAAGTGTGGGGAAAGCCTAGTCAGTTGCAGGGGAATATCCAGTCGAGTATCTATTTCTCATCGTGCTCTGGTGTCTATTTACATACTGGATTTAGTTCCCTAAACCCTCCTGCTTTATTCACACTATAAAAGGAACACGAGCATTGGACCCAGTCTGGAAGAAAGGGCTCCCTTATTTATGATTTTTGTGTCTATATGTTGATGAATAGACAAACGTACAAGCTTGGGAAATTCAATAGTGGCAAAACAAAAGAAAACAAACAACAACAAAAAACCTTGTGTATGTGAATACACTGTAATACACCTCCTCCACTGTCTCCCTCCCCTCCCCCAACCATCCACACCAGCTAGAGAGAAGGCTTTTTGTGGTGCACTGTTATGTCATAACCTACAGACCTATTTTTCAGACAAAGCAAAACAGACTGCGGGAACAAACATCTCTATTTGCAGCTGAAACACTTTGGTTTCCCTTAAGAAAAACAGATGTAACAGTTGACAGAGCGGCGCTCCGATCAGCCATTCCGTTTGAGATCTGCTCCAAACACGCTGCTTAAATATGCCACTTGCTCACTCAGCCGTAATCATTTTCACAAGAAAAACTGACTGTTTAAAAAAGAAAAATATTTGTGTTACTTTGG